GAATACTGATGAATCATGTAAGCAAGCCTATTAGATTCTAGCAACTCATAGTAAAAGATGATGCTTCCCTTATATTGTGTAGATTATTTAAAGGTTGCTGCTGATGGTGCATACATAACAGCTACTACTGTATTTGGAGCAATGAGAGGTGAAGAAAGAAAGAAATAATAAAATTCAGAGTGTGTATGATTTTGCAGGACTTGAAACTTTTAGTCAACTCATTTATCACAGGCCAGATGGAGGAGTAAGATTTATAGTGTCAGAAACTTCACATATTATTTCTTGTTCTAGCTTGCTATAAACGAAGTGACGGGACTCTATGACCAACCAAGGTTTCAATATCGCGGGATATTGATTGACACCTCCAGACACTTCGTTAATCTCCACACAATACTAACTCATCTTGATGCAATGGTGTACAGCAAGTATAATATACTCCATTGGCATATTGTGGATGATCCTTCTTTTCCTTATGAATCATACACCTTTCCTGACCTAGCTGCTAAGGTATGGGAATATAGCAATTTTGAAGATTGTGGAAAATGAAAGAAAGGTTGTAAAATTTAATTTTTTTGTAGGGAGCATTTGATCATGAGCACATTTATACACAAGAAGATGTGAAGACTGTTATTAATTATGCTTATGAACGTGGCATAAGAGTTATACCTGAATTCGATACTCCAGTAAGATATGACTAATAATCATCATTCACTTATATCATTTCTCTTAATGATAGGGTCATACTCAGTCTTGGGGTGCTGGACAGCCTGATCTATTGACTCCTTGTTATGCCAATGGCCAACCAAATGGGTGAATGGATAATTTATTTTGTATATATACTATAATAAGTTTGTGGGTGACATCAAGAGTAGATAATTTTTATGTACTCTTGGTGACATTGAGCTATTGTATTAATTTAATAGTGATTATTCCAGTTGACACTATCATTCTTTTATTAGTGAATATGGTCCTGTTAATCCAATTCTAAACTCTACATGGACATTCTTGACTTCTCTTTATCAAGAAATTGATAACGTTTTCCCTGACAATTACATTCATTTGGGAGGAGATGAGGTCTCATTTACTTGCTGGTAAGTATAGACTGTTGCTAAAGATTAGTTAGTTCTGTTTGTCTCCATTATTATAGGGAAAGTAATCCTGACATACAAGCATGGATGAAGAAAATGGGATACACTGATTATGCTAAACTTGAGGAATATTATGAAAACAAGTGAGAACCATTAGCATTGAATGAATGATTGTATTTCTATTGCAATTTCCACAGTTTGATTGATTTGGTCAATAAACTGAATAAGAGTTATGTTGTGTGGCAAGAAATATTTGACAATGGACTAAAGGTATATTAGTACTGGTTTTATGATAATTTATCATTTTTATGTTTTATAGATCAAAATGGATACAGTTATTGATGTGTGGAAGACAGGCTGGGAGAAAGAAATGGATGCTGTAACTAAAGCTGGTTATAAAGTTATCCTATCAACCTGTTGGTATCTGAACCGCATTAGCTATGGAGAAGACTGGAAAAGTGTGAGTAATACATGTTCTTGTGCTGCATAGAATATTGAGATGATTTTGATTGGAATTGGATTTTTTACACATGTTAAAGTTGCTCAAAAATCAGGCCAAAGTCCTAGTACATGTATTACAATTTGACCAAATTTGCCAAAA